GAGGCTTGAGGAAGACTTCTGCAGGCTTTGCAGGCTGAAAACTAGGCCTGTTACATCACTTCCCGTTTTTCCAAAAATATCGGAAGTGACAAAACGGGCCTAATTTTCAGCCTGCAGAAGCCTTCCTCAAGCTTCTGGGAAGCCGAAAAAGGCTTCAAACTGGCCGAAAATCAGCTGTGAGGCGCAGTGCAGGTAAGGGAGTGCGTGGGGATTACGCGCACGTGCATAGGGGACATGGGGTGTGTGTGTATTGCCTTCTGGGTGCTGGCATGTGAGTGCGAGCGTTCAAGCACGCGCACAGTTTTTGGCACAGGAGCCCAAAAAGGTTAGCCACCACTACCCTACCCCATTCCAGACAAATGACTGTTCTGTATCTTCTTTTAAAAAAAAAATCTCCCTTGTTGGAGCAACCATAATTTCTGAAGGCGAACCGTTCCACTGATGAATTGTTCTCGTTAACAGGAAATTTCTCCTTCATGCTAGGTTGAGTTTCTCCTTGATTAATTCCCACCCATTCCTTCTTGTTCTGCCTTCAGGTGCTTTCGATATGTTGTCACCCCTCTCAATCCAATTGATTCTCATATTCTTACATTTGCTGATCGCCTTTCAGAGTCAAAAAGCCCCATCAGTTTTTTGGTTTTTTTAAATTCATAAATGAGCTGCAAAATACCTGTTCAATTCCCCCTCCCCACCCTGGTGTGGTTTTTTTTTGGTTACGCTGTAGGAATTTGAGCAACTGGCAGAAATCAAGAGTATAACGGTATTAGGAAGCTGAGCTTCTATAAGTAATTAAATTGCTTTTAAGCCGCGGGCCCTTGTAGAGAAAATCAACGGAGAAGCCTCCGCCGCTGAGACAGCAGCTGGATTTAAAAAAAAAAATGCATGTAAAATCTAATTATGGTATGAAAGATACGCTCATTCAAATCATTTCATTTCCCCAAACAAATGGGTGTTTCCTTTAAACAGATGCATTCTAAATTTAGACCCTGCTTAATGAGAACATGCACAGGTAGAGAGAATTTAGGGGCATGAAACAACAGTAACAAAATTCCCCTTAGCATAAATAAAAATGGAGTCCAAATGGGTCTTTTCCAAAACTTAATTTCAAAGTCTACTGAGAGCGTATGGATGCTGTCTTCACATATAGATTTAACAGAGCTGGAAGGGACCTTATAGGTCATCTAGTCCAACCCCCCGCCCAAGCAGGAGACCCTACACCATTTCTGACAGATGGCAGCCCAGTCTCTTCTTGGAAGCTTCCAGTGATGAAGTTCCCACAACTTCTGAAGGCAACTTCTGTTCCATGGGTTGATTGTTCTCACTGTCAGAAAGTTTCTCCTTATTTCCAGGTTGAATCTCTCCTTGATCAGCTTCCATCCATTAATTCCTTGTCTGGCCTTTGGTTGCTTTAGAAAACAGCTTGACCCCTTCCTCTCTGTGGCAGCCCCTCAAATATTGGAAGACCGCTATCATGTCTCCCCTGGTCCTTCTCTTCACTAGACTAGCCAGGCCCAGTTCCTGCAACCGTTCTTCATATGCCTTAGTCTCCAGTCCCCTCATCATCCTGGTTGCTCTTCTCTGCACTTTTTCTAGAGTCTCAACATCTTTTTTATAATGTGACCAAAACTGGATGCAGGACTCTAGGTGTGGACAGATGATAAGCTTGGAAATTAATTATTGAAATGAATTGCTACTAAATGCCTTGTGGGGGCCCTTCATTAGCTTTTTCGGCCAAATTGCTTTGCCATGCATGCCTGTCCGGAAAGGAGTTTTTGCTTTCTGCTTTAAATTTTACAGGCAGTCATTCCTTTAGTGAACTTTCAAAATCACAATGGCACTGAAAAGAGTGTGTTATGACCATTTTTCACATTTACGACCATTGCAGCACCCTCGTAGTCATGTGATCAAAATTCAGCCGCTTGGCAACTGCTTCATATTTATGACGGTTGCTGTGTCCCGGCGTCGTGTGATCCTCTTTTGTGACCTTTGGACAAGCAAAGCCAGTGGGGAAGATTCACTGAACGACATGATTCACTTTAACATCTGCACTGATTTGCTTAACCACCATGGCAAGAAAAGTCGTAAGATTGGGACAGCTTACTTAACAACTGCCTTGTTTAGCAGTGGCAGTTCTGGTCCCAATTTTGGTTGTAGGTTGAAGATTACTTGTACTCCGGCTTGGATTTGGGAACGGTGGAGTCAAAATCTAGAGAGGCCCACAAACCATTTGTCTGAAATGGTATAGGACTTCCCCTCAGCAGGGGGTTGGACTGGAGGACCTCCAAGGTCCCTTCCAACTCTTGTTATTCTGTTATCTAATAGACAGGCCAAGTTTTCCAAGCACGTGTTTGCTGAAGCACACTTCGTCTCTATGGCTCTGTGACAAAGAGAAGGTCGCTCACATTCTTTCCTTCAAGAAAAGGGTACCACTTGAGCATCAAAAGCATCAAATATCCCCCTTTCTCCCTGCAGGAAAATTGTCCTGCTCTTTAGAAAGCGGCACAGAAACGTGTGCAGATTTGTGAGAGGTTTGTGGGCTGTTGTGAGGATGCTGCGTTGCTGCAGAGATGCGTCAACCCTCGACTGACAGTCAAAAGGCCAAGACAGGCAATGGGCAATAACACAAGCCTGTAGCAGCCTCCTTAGAACATCAAATCATGGGGCTGGAAGGGACCTCAGAGGTCTTCTAGTCCAACCCGCTGCTCAAGGCAGGAGATTATAACATTTTGGTCAAATGGTTGTCCATCCTGTTTTTGAAAACCTCCAGGGATGGAGCATCCACAAGTTGTTCTGACCCAAACTCTTTTCCAATAAAACAAACATGAACCAAAGGGAACAGAATCCTTTTAATGATTCTTACGAATCCCCAGTTAAAAGGCTGCTGCAAACTAATTAACTTTGAGAAGCACAACCTGTGCGAGGCTGCCAAGAATAACAGATAAGAAATATTTCACAACACGAGAGTCTTCAAATACCAACTTAAGATACTGTAATGTCCACCAGGCTCGAGTTTCAAAACGTCTTTGCTTCCTGCAAAGAACATCCGATTCACACCTGGCTTTTATCTTCTTGAAGGAGGGGTCATTACCTTGCAGCCTTACTCCCCGTAAGTCGCCTGTGCTGCTTAATTGTTCTTTCCTCCAAGTAATCCTTCATGCATGTGCACTTGGCACAGGCTCCTCGGGAACCTCCTCATTGCTGCTGCCAGCCCCCACAATCTCGGAAGGCAGCCGTCCACTCCCTGATGGTCCTGGCCCCTCATCTGAGTCCTCACTCTCCTCAGCCATCCGTACCTGCTGCTGGCTAACCACACTACAAGTTCTGGTGGCAAGCTGTTCCACTGGTTGACTGTTCTCGCTGACATGACATTTTTCCTTAGTTCTAGGTTGGATCTGTCTTTACTTGACAGACTAGAACACTGGGCCATATCTAACAAAATGAAATTCAATGTAGAGAAAAGTAAAGTCCTACACTTAGGCAAGAAAAACCAAAAGTGCACATATAGACTGGGTGAAACCAGGCTCAATAGCAGGAACTGTGAGAGGGATCTTGGAGTCTTAATGGACAACCAGTTAAATATGAGCCAGCAGTGTGCAGCAGCAGCCAAAAAAGTTAGTGCAACCAACCCTAAGTTGCATTAACAGAGGGATGCAATCGAGATCAAGGGAAGTACTAATACCACTCTATAAAGCCTTAGTAAGACCACACCTAGAGTACTGCATCCAGTTTTGGTCACCGCACTATAAAAAGATGTTGAGACTCTAGAAAAAGTACAGAGAAGAGCAACCAGGATGATTAGGGGCCTGGGGGCTAAATCATACGATGAACGGTTGCAGGAACTGGGCCTGGCTAGTCTAGTGAAGAGAAGGACCAGGGGAGACATGATAGCGGTCTTCCAATATTTGAGGAGGGGCTGCCCCAGAGAGGAAAGGGGTCGTTTTCTAAAGCGTCTGTAGGCCAGACAAGGAATAATGGATGGAACCTGAACAAGGAGAGACTCAACCTGGAAATAAGGAGAAACTTTCTGACAGTGAGGACAATCAACCCATGGAACAGAAGTTGCCTTTGGAAATTGTGGGAGCGCCATCACTTGAGACTTTCAAGAAGAGATTGGACTGCCATTTGTCAGAAATGGCGTAGGGTCTCCCGCTTGGGCGGGGGAGTTGGACTAGATGACCTACAAGGTCTCTTCCAACTCTGATTATCTGTTAAATCTGTTACTTCTTTTTCCTGTTTTCAACTGCTTTGGGGAACAGGTTGACGCCCTCTTCTTTGTGAGAACCCCTCAAGTACTGGAAGAAAGTTATCATGTCACTCCTAATCTTTCCCTTTGATAGCCATAGTAAGAGCACTTAGACTTATATACCGCTTCACAGTACTTTACAGCCCTCTCTTGAAGTGATTTACAGAGACAGTCTGTTGCCCCCAACAATCTGGGTCCTCATTTTACCCACCTCGGAAGGACGGAAGGCAGAGTCAACCTTGAGCCTGGTGAGATTTGAAGTGCCAAATTGCAGGCAGCCAGCAGGCAGCAGAAGTAGCCTGCAGTACTGCACTCTGACCACTGCGCCACCATGGCTCGTAGGCAGACATACTTAGCTCCTTCCTCCATCCATGATACGATTTAGCCTCTGGAGTCCTCATCATCTTTGTTGCTCTTCTTTGCACACTTTTCAGGGTTTTGGTGTCTTTTTTTGTACTGTGGTGACAGGCGTTTTGCAGCCAAAGACTTTTTCTTACGCTTACATCCCCACTTCCCTCGTAGCAAAACCTAGAAGGACGATCGAAAAGCTCAGCTTAAATTTTCAAATATTTACTTTATTTGCAATTGCCAGAGGAAATTACCGGGATGGAGCGGGGAAGGGCTAGCAAGTCCAGTCCCCTCAACGGGAACAAAGTGCATAAAAAAATATTTTTAAAAAAGGGGGGCGAAGGGAGAAATGCAGTCTTGACGGTAACCCAGGACCCCCAAGGGTGAAAACAAATATGAACCATTTTTTTTCTTCCAGAAGAGACAGAAAGGCCAAACTGAGGCCTTTCTCCAGACAATCTAGGGAGAAACATGCTGTTTGCACCCTTAGACATTAGTACCTCATTTCTCCCTGATAAACCTAAAAACATGTTTTTTTTTTGGGGGGGGGGGGGTGATGCAATTCTTCTTCCTCCATGGGGAAGGAATTCCTTGGCAGGCTGACCCCCTCCAGAAGCACCGAGAGAGAGACCAAATTTAAGGAACCAAGTACATTTTCAGTCCCATTCAGGGAGACTGGAGAGAAACAGGAAATTGCTCCTTAAGTCTGTCCACCGGATCTACATTCGTCCATTGGGTCTACGTTCGAATGCAGAAGACTAGATGATCTTGCAGAATCAGTTGAAAAAGTAGGTCGATTTCTTCACCAACCCTAATTTGAATTCACCTGAAGGGGAGAAAAGGAGAGATCAGGAAAAAGAAAAGGTATACTGGGTGGGAACCTCTTCATGTAATGATTGCTGCAAAAAAAAGCTCGTAAATTTTGACACCAAAACCGGGTGATCTGCTTAATGACCGGCATGATTTATGACTGTAATTCTGGGCTCAATTACAGTGGTCAGTCAAGAACAACTTGTAGTTTAATTAACAGCGGAAATGGACAATCCACAGTCCATAAAGACCCGTGATGGGGAACCTACGGCACGCATGCCACAGGTGGCACGCAGAGCCATTTGCGCTAGCACATGAGCCACAGGCAAACTTACCTCACTGTGTATGCGCGTGCCTCACAGCTGCTTTTCAGCCTGTTTGAGGCCATTTTTGGCCTCCCAGAGGCTTGAGGAAGGTCTCTACAGGCTGAAAAATAGGCCCGTTTCGTCACTTCCTGTATTTCTGGAAATACCGGAAGTGACTAAACGGGCACATTTTTCAGCCTGCAAAGGCTTTGGGAGGCCTCTGGGAGGCCGAGAATCAGCTGTGAGGCGCAGTGCAGGTAAGGGGGGCGATTGCACGCACATGCGCAGGGGGCGTGGGGGCATGCACAGGCATTGCCTTCTGGGTGCTGGCCCGCAAGCGCACGAGCATGAGCACGCACACAATTTTGGGCACAGGAGCCCAGAAAGGCTAGCCACCACTGATATAGACAGTCCTTGACTTACAACACTTAGATTAGTGATGGTTTGAAGTTACAGGGGCACTGAAAAAGTGACATATGACTGTGTTTCACGCTTAAGACCGTTGCAACATCCCCATGGCCATAAGATCAAAATTTAGATGCTTGGCAAGTGTCTCATAACAGTGGCAGTGTCCTGGGGGGTCACGTGATCCCCTTTTGCAACCTTCTGACAAGCAAAGTCAATGGGGAAGCCAGATTCACTTAACAACCAGGTTGCTAACTTAAAAACTAGTGATTCACATAACAACGGTGGCAAGAAAGGTCGTAAAACGGGGCAAAACTCTTGCTTAGCAATATCATTTTGGGGCTCAGGGACTACCTGTAAGATAAATTTGTATTCAGCTTTCGAAAGCTCAGGCCTTTTAACAGAATTTCTTCGCCTGAAAAAGCGCTACCTAATTCATTCTGGTTTTTTCCTCTTTTTTTTGCTTAATACAAAGACATCCTAGGACGAACACTGAGAGGAGGTTCATTTAAACTTCGGCATCTGGAGCGGAGAAAGCCACTTAAAAGAGTCCCAGCTTTGAGTCCAACAGGGACAAAACAACAACAGCAATTAAAAGTGACAGATTGTGGCTGGGAGCCAAAGATGCTCCCCGCAGGTGGGTCCATGTCTGCCAACAGAGGTAACTCCTGGGACCTCACAGATGATATGCTTGGGAGGGCACCAATACTGCCTTTCCAGCAACGAGGCCCCTGTGGATTGCTTTAATGACACAGAGTGGGAGGGGGGCTGGGGGGAGATGGTTCTCGGAACACCCCGAGCATCAGCTTCCCTGCCAAAAGCAGGCTCTGCAAAACGGAGCAGCATCGCGTGGCTTGTTGGTAAAACCAGTAAATCATACGGTATTTTACAAGAAACCCGTCAGGGGACACACCTAATATTCCTTCCTCCTCTTCATTTCTCTTCAACAACCCCATGAGCCCAGTCACCCAGCCAGCTTTCATGCCTATGGTAGAACTAGAACTCCCAGTCTCCTAGGGATGGGCCCAAAATTGCCCGGCCAGTTTTCATGCCTTAAGGTGGGACTAGTTATGAGACGCTTGCCAAGCATCTAAATTTTGATCTTATGGCCATGGGGATGTTGCAACGGTCTTAAGCGTGAAACACGGTCATATGTCACTTTTTCAGTGCCCCTGTAACTTCAAACCATCACTAATCTAAGTGTTGTAAGTCAAGGACTGTCTGTATCAGTGGTGGCCAGCCTTTCTGGGCTCCTGTGCCCAAAATTGTGGGCGTGCTCATGCTCGTGCGCTTGCGTGCCAGCACCCAGAAGGCAATGCGTGTGCATGCCCAGGTGAACTGAGATGTTTTTTTTTTTTTTGAGATCAACTTCAATGCAAGCTAAGGGGGGTTGTATAATGTTTGGGGCACCGTTTCTCCTTCAAAAGGAGAAATGTCGGAATAAGTGTTTTATTCTGATCCTGACGACTCTTAAAATAACTATGAAAAAGGAGCCAGAATGATTTTTCTTAAGTTTGATGGGCAAAGGGCTTGAAAGGAAATTTGGAGCTGTTCTATATGAGAGCCAGTTGGGCCTAGTGGTTAGGGGGATGGCCTAGAAACCAGGAGACAGTGAGTTCTAGTCCTGCCTTAGGCACGAAACTCAGCTGGGTGAGACTGAGCCAATCATCACAAGACTGGGAGTTCCAGCCCCACCTTAGACATGAAAGCTGGCTAGGTGAGGTTGGGCAAATCACTAGGGGACAGGGAGTTCTAGTGCCACCCTAAGGCACGAAAACTGTGGCTGGGTGACTTTGGTTAAATCACCAGGAGACAGTGTATTCTAGTGCCACCTTAAGGCATGAAAGTTGGCTGGGTGATTTTGGGCCCATCCCTAGGAGACTGGGAGTTCTAGTTCTACCACAGGCATGAAAGCTGGCTGGGTGACTGGGCTCATGGGGTTGTTGAAGAGAAATGAAGAGGAGGAAGGAATATTAGATATGTTCCCTGACGAGTTACTTGTAAAAAATAATAAAGGTGTTACACACCCACGGAGTATATTAAAGAATAAAATAGAATAGAATAGAATAGAATAGAATAGAATAGAATAGAATAGAATAGAATAGAA